ATGCCCACAGCAGGCATCGAACAGGGCAGGGCTGTCTGGCACACGCCCGGGGCCGTGGAGCAAACGCCGATGATCGGGTCCGGGTGTTTTTTTCCTCCATTGCTCCTCCTCCATTGCGAGAGGAGGGGCGGGGGGGGGGGGGGGGCGGATGCGGGGGGGGGGGGGGAGCGGAGGCGGGATGTGGATGCGGGGGAGGAAGGACCAGGGTTGGCGGCGTGCACGGGGGAGCGCAGGCGGAGAGGGGGGGGAGGCTTCTTAGAGGGAGGCCGCCGGCTTCTCGGATGGTGTCGGCCCCCCCCGAGGAGCCTCGGGTCAGGGCACGAGGAGAACGGGGGCGGCAGAGATTCTGAGGTGCGGGAGGGGGGATGAGGGGGGGGGGGAGGAGGAGGGGGAGGAAGGGGGGAAGGGGGGAGGAAGGGGGGGGGGAGGAAGGGAGGGGGGATGAGGGGGGGGAGGGGAGGAGGGGGGAGGAAGGGGGGAAGGGTACCCCCTCCTCCCACTCGCGAGCCGGCGAGCCATGAGGAGGAGGGAGTACTGGGGGCGGTACCGGCGGGCCACTCCCACGGAGGAAGCGACCCGCCCAGCCCCGCGACAACACAAAGCGTCGGTACCTGGTGGGCCCATGGCCCTGGGGGAGAGGGGGAGGTGGCAGGGGGCGGCGGGAGCCCCTACCCTTCAGCCTCTCCTACGCCTCCTCTTCCCCAGATCTCCGAAACGTGCGTGTCCTCACTCCTCCTCCTCCTCCTCCTCCTCCTTCCCCCCCTCCCGAGCCCGAGCGCCACAAAGTGGGGAGGGGGAAACAGGAGATGGGGAGGTCAGGTCGACCAACGTCGCGCACGGCGCTGCCTGCTCGGCAGCCTTTCGCCTTCTGAAAAGGCCGCCCCCTTGTGCCACCAGGCGCACGCCGACTGTGCTCGCAGCGCACCTCGACGTTGGCAGCGGCCAGGGGGTCTGCACTGCATGGGCCCTGAGAAAATCCGTCCAAATAGGGGGGTGAAGGCAAATCCACTCACTATCGGTGCCCGGACCCTTCTGGGGGTCGAAACATGTGTTTCGAACCGCGTCCAGCCATGGTCGCAAGGGGTGCTGAGCCAACTCGGCCCCCTTGCGGGCTCCAGCCTGGTCGGCTACACGCAAGAGCGCCCCGAGGCAAGCGTGACCTTTTGTGCGCGGCATCTGGGGGTATCCAGGGGGCCAAACTTAGGCGCGTAAGCCGCTGCTATCTAAGGAACCAAAATAAGACGTACGCTCTCAACCGCGTGCGTGAATACGGCCACCTGGTCTGCGAGACCAACCTCGTGATACGAACGTTCGCGCAATGCGCATCTTCGAAACCAAATATGGATTCATACACGTGTGCGTCATCCTGCCGCCCCTGACAGTGGACCAACACCAAAGGTCACTCCCGCGAAGGGCCACTCTAGGGGGCCACTTGCGAACCCTACCCCTACCCCTCACGATTTCTGAGGGGGAGGGTAGGGTTCACTTCGCTCGGGAGCTCCCGAATGAAGTGAACCCCACCCTCCCCCTCAGAAATCGTGGGGGGTAGGGGTGGGGTTCGCAAGTGGCCCCCTACACTCCTCACGTGTCTGGCATGGGAGAAGCGCGTCCAGGGGGAAGCGGGTCCTGGACCCTGATGTGCCTCCCCCCAAGACGAGCCGTTCATCCCAAGCGTCGTTGCCTGACAAGTCCCGGGCCCGTGGAGGGAGCGCCCCCGAGAGCCCGAGAGCAGGGGAACCCCCAGGACCCGCTTCCCTCAGGACCCCCTTCCTGGAGTAGAGGAGCGCGTTCCACTACAGTCAACCCGTGGAATAAGGATGTGCGACAAGGATGCAAGCCCCTTCGAAGCCCATTTCGAAGCTTCCGAGCGGGGCGCGACCAACGAGGGTGGCCAAGGATGCACCGAGGAGGCAAGGATGCAAGGGTAACCTTGGGAGGGTTGCCCGTCCTTACTATGCGGGTTGACTGTACTCGCAAAGTGATTACTCGCAAACGGCCTGCATCCGCCGCGGGGGATATACAAAACATTGCATCGACGCAGACAGGTGTGTTTCGGACGTTTGCGAGCAGGCGCTTTGCGAGTAGTGGAACGCACTGGGTGATAGAGGCACACAGAAAAACGGCACAAACATAAACTGTTGCCAGTTCGCGCGGATTTCTCGGATCTGAGCTGGAGCCCCCTTGGGCGGCTCGGGAGGCGCCGCCAGGGGGCCCCATGGCGAGCGCGTGTGGCCGACTAGGGCGGCAAGAGCCCCACCCCCGCCACCTCCAGAGGCAGCTACCCCTTGCAGAGAGCTGAAAAATCACCCTCATGATAAGCACCCCGACAAACAAAGGCGTGTCTGGCCATCGCTCGGACGTCCGACTCCCGTGCATGCTTCGGCTTCATGCGGGCGCTCTCCCCGCCGTGGTCCGGGATGCTCCTCGATGGTCCTCGCCCCCCCAAAAAAAGGTACACGCCCGATGTGCCAGGGCCTGGCAGACGCACCCAAAGAAAAGC